TCCATTCACTCCTATCAAACACGCTCACGGCATGCCCGCTGGAAGTCCAAGCCCCTCGCACACAAAACCTCCTTTACCCCCTCCCTCCAACCCTTCCTAGGCCGACCCCTACCCCCCCGCCTTCCTTCCACTACAGACTGATACACTCTATGAAGTCATTCTGTTTCGCTCCATTCTCTCTACAGTCCGAACCACCTCAACAACCCTTCCTCAGCCCTCTGGACAACAGTTTTGGTAATCCCGCACCTCCTCCTAACTTCCAAACTACGAATTCTCTGCATTATATTCACACCACACATTGCCCTCAGACATGACATCTCCACTGCCTCCAGCCTTCTCCTCGCTGCAACATTCATCACCCACGCTTCACACCCATATAAGAGCGTTGGTAAAACTATACTCTCATACATTCCCCTCTTTGCCTCCAAGGACAAAGTTCTTTGTCTCCACAGACTCCTAAGTGCACCACTCACTCTTTTTCCCTCATCAATTCTATGATTCACTCATCTTTCATAGACCCATCCGCTGACACGTCCACTCCCAAATATCTGAATACGTTCACCTCCCCATACTCTCTCCCTCCAATCTGATATTCAATCTTTCATCACCTAATCTTTTTGTTATCCTCATAACCTTACTCTTTCCTGTATTCACCTTTAATTTTCTTCTTTTACACACCCTACCAAATTCATCCACCAATCTCTGCAACTTCTCTTCAGAATCTCCCAAGAGCACAGTGTCATCAGCAAAGAGCAGCTGTGACAACTCCCATTTTGTGTGTGATTCTTTATCTTTTAACTCCACGCCTCTTGCCAAGACCCTCGCATTTACTTCTCTTACAACCCCATCTATAAATATATTAAACAACCACGGTGACATCACACATCTTGTCTAAGGCCTACCTTTACTGGGAAAAAATTTCCCTCTTTCCTACATACTCTAACTTGAGCCTCACTATCCTCGTAAAAACTCTTCACTGCTTTCAGTAACCTACCTCCTACACCATACACTTGCAACATCTGCCACATTGCCCCCCTATCCACCCTGTCATACGCCTTTTCCAAATCCATAAATGCCACAAAGACCTCTTAGCCTTATCTAAATACTGTTCACTTATATGTTTCACTGTAAACACCTGGTCCACACACCCCCTACCTTTCCTAAAGCCTCCTTGTTCATCTGCTATTCCTATTCTCCGTCTTACTCTTAATTCTTTCAATTATAACTCTACCATACACCTTACCAGGTACACTCAACAGACTTATCCCCCTATAATTTTTGCACTCTCTTTTATCCCCTTTGCCTTTATACAAAGGAACTATGCATGCTCTCTGCCAATCCCTAGGTACCTTACCCTCTTCCATACATTTATTAAATAATTGCACCAACCACTCCAAAACTATATCCCCACTGCTTTTAACATTTCTATCTTTATCCCATCAATCCCGGCTGCCTTACCCCTTTCATTTTACCTACTGCCTCACGAACTTCCCCCACACTCACAACTGGCTCTTCCTCACTCCTACAAGATGTTATTCCTCCTTGCCCTATACACGAAATCACAGCTTCCCTATCTTCATCAACATTTAAACAATTCCTCAAAATATTCCCTCCATCTTCCCAATACCTCTAACTCTCCATTTAATAACTCTCCTCTCCTATTTTTAACTGACAAATCCATTTGTTCTCTAGGCTTTCTTAACTTGTTAATCTCACTCCAAAACTTTTTCTTATTTTCAACAAAATTTGTTGATAACATCTCACCCCACTACCCTCATTTGCTCTCTTTTTACATTGCTTCACCACTCTCTTAACTTCTCTCTTTTTCTCCATATACCTTCCCTCCTTGCATCACTTCTACTTTGTAAAAACTTCTCATATGCTAACTTTTTCTCCCTTACTACTCTCTTACATCATCATTCCACCAATCGCCTCCTCTTCCCTCCTGCACCCACTTTCCTGTAACCACAAACTTCTGCTGAACACTCTAACACTACATTTTTAAACCTAGCCCATACCTCTTCGACCCCATTGCCTATGCTCCCCTTAGCCCATCTATCCTCCAATAGCTGTTTATATCTTACCCTAACTGCCTCCTCTTTATTTTAAAACCTTCACCTCTCTCTTTCCCTGATGCTTCTATTCCCTTGTATCCCATCTACCTTTTACTCTCAGTGTAGCTACAACTAGAAAGTGATCTGATATATCTGGTGCCCCTCTATAACATTACAATCTGAAGTCTAACTCAACAGTCTTTTACTACCAATACATAATCCAACAAACTACTGTCATTTCGCCCTACACATATCGTTATACTTATTTATCCCCTTTTTCTTAAAATATGTAAATTTCCTATAACTAAACCCCTTTCATACAAAATTCAATCAAAGGGCTCCCATTATCATTTACACCTGGCACCCCAAACTTACCTACCACACCCTCTCTAAAGGTTCTCCACTTTAGCATTCAGGTCCCCTACCACAATTACCTCTCTCATTTGGTTCAAAGGCTCCTATACATTCACTTAACATCTCCCAAAATCTCTCTCTCTCCTCTGCATTTCTCTCTTCTCCAGGTGCATACCCCCGCTTATTATGACCCACTTCTCGCACCAACCTTTACATTTAATCCACATAATTCTTGAATTTACACATTCATATTCTCTTTTCCCCCCTTCCATAACTGATCATTAACATTACTGCTATATATATATATATATATATATATATATATATATATATATATTTTATATAAAAATTTTATAAATATATATATATATTAAAAATATATATATATATAATAAAATAAATAAATATATATATATAAAATATATAATATATATAAAATATATTATATATATAATATAAATTATATAAATAAAATATATATATTATATAATAAAATATATATATATATAATAAATAATATATATAATAATATAATAATTAATATATATATAATATATATATTAATAATATATATATATAATAATATATTTAAAATATAATATTTTATATAATTTAAAATAATATATATATAATATATAATATATATATATAATAAAATATATAAATAATATATATATATTATATATATAATATATATATAATATATATATATAATATATAATATATATAAAAATATAAATATATATATATATATATAAATATATAAAATATATAAAAATAAAAAAATATATATAAAAAAAAATATATATAAATAAAAAATATATATATATATATAATATATAATATATAATATATATATATATATATATAAATAATATAAAAATATATAATATATATATATATAATATAATATATATTATATATATATATATAATATATATATATAAATATATATATAATAAAATAATATATATATATATATATATAAATATATATAAAATATATATATATATAATATAATATATATATATAATAAATATATATATATATATAATATATAAATGCAAAACAACCACTCTGAAAGAATAGAGAAATTCCAAGCGCTTTCGTGACTTGATAATGTGAGTAGTCACGAAAGCGCTTGGAATTTCTCTATTCTTTCAGAGGGGTTTTGTTTTGCATATTCTGAAATCACCTGTTTACTGTGATCTTATTGCATATATATATATATATATATATATATATATATATATATATAATATATATATATATATATATATATAATATATATAATATATATATATATATATATATATAATATATATATATATATATATATATATATATTATATATATATATATATTATATATAATATATATATATATATTTATATATATATTTTGATACTGTACACCACATGAGACTGGGACAAAAAACTTGAGAAGAGGGCAGGAATAACAAGAAATGTGCTCCACTGGATCAAAGAGTACCTTAGAGGAAGAAAGCAAAAATGTGAGTGCCTGAGAAGAGATGTCAGAATGGGGAATTGTAACAAGCAGGGTACCACAAAGATCAGTATAAGGGCCAGTATTGTATCTGGTTTATGTGAACGACATATCAGATGGGACTGAGTCAGATGTATTTATGTTCATTGATGATGTAAAACTAACGAGAATGCAAACAGATGAGGACAGAAAAAGACTGTAAATGGATAGGGACAAACTGCAGGGCTGATCAGATAAGTAGTTGCTAGAATTCAACTCCAGTGAATGCAAAGTTATAAAAAATGGGAAAGGGGCCAGAAGACTGGACACAGAGTACAGATTCTGGTTAAAGAGGCTGCAGATTTCATTCAAAGAGGAGGACCTGGGAGTAAACACAGTGCCAAGCATATCACTTGTCTCAAATCAACCTAATAACCTCTGTAGCCAATGATTGCCTGGCAATCTGCGAGTGCCCTTCAGGAAGCTCAACAGCGTCATTCATAGCACATTATACAAAATATGTCAGGTCGATCATGGAGTACACAGCACCAGTATGGAACCCACACCTGAGGAAGCATGTTAGAAAACTGGAGAAAGTTCAGAAGAATGCAATGAGCTATAGATTTCAACCCCAAGAAGATTGACTGCAAAAACTAAGACTGCCATATAGGAATAGAAACATGGAAAGTGAAACTTATGGAAGCAGTAATAAAGAATTTTATGAGGCAACATATGAAGGAAACAACACAGTGACGTGGTATAAACATAAGGCCCAAGAGGACAGAGTCAATGATACCAATCAAAGTAGTCTAGGAGGCATTGCCAGGAGCTAAGTTTCGACCCCCACAAACACAGCTCTCTAGTACACATACACACACATATACATAGGGTTAAATTAAATCTTTTATAAAGCTCCTGCAGGCATTGCCCTGGTATGTGAGAAATAGTATTAACAGAATAATAAATGTAAGTTGTATTCTTGAACACTGTACATTTTTGTGAAGTGTAATGCGGCAAAATATTAATTATAAAAAATGTATCATTTCAAAGATAATTCCTAATCTGCATGAAAATTAAAATAGAAAAATGTAAAATTAAATAATATACCTGATTTATGTCAGCTTTTCCTCGAACGAAGTCTCTGTATGCAACTGAGATTGTGCGAAGACCATTACATGCCATGGGTTCAATTACTTCTCGAACCAGACGATCTTGCATTGACTTTGAGAAGTTCTCTAATCTGCCATCCTTTCCATAGATGAAGGAGCACCTGAAGTAACACGACTACAGTAATCTTTGCATATACATATATGTACTTTAGGTTCCAAGAATATATGTCAAATCTTAAATCGTCCTCACACAAAGCACACTTCAAGACACATGTATTAAACTATAGCACATGAATAAAATTACAAGTACAGTCTCTCCTCACTTAGCAATGTACTTGTTTACCGATCACTTGGACTTACAACCAGCTCTCCAACAAGTATGGAAACCTAAATAATGTATATTAGAGCTGATTTCCTCTATTATGTTTATTACAGTATACAGTACACTACTGCATAAACACTTATAAATATACCAGAAATGTTATAAATGGTGCAAAGGTGACATTAAAAAAATATCTAAAGATGGTTGACACAAACCCACTACCAGTATAGTATGCTCCTCGCCTAGCAACCAATACGCTTATCGATCTACTCTTAGGAACAAAACCCTGTTAAGTGAGGACAGCTTTCCAGATTTCATTCCAGACCATGAAGCCGAACTCTTCTCCAGGCTGAGGGACTGACCACCTCAAATACTTTTTCTCCAAGGTTGATGGACTGATTACATCATGTTTATTTCATTACTACTGCACCCTTCGTATTTGACTGAAGAAGCCCACTGTGTAGGCAAAATGTTTCATCAATAAAGATATCCAACTGTTGCACATGTGTCTTAATCTTTAACTTGCTTTTTTTTTTTTTTACACACTGGCCATTTCCCACTGAGGCAGGGTGAGTGAAAAAGAAAGAAAAATATTTTCATCATCATTCAACACTTTTACCATCACTCATACATAATCACTGTCTTTGCAGAGGCACTCAGATATGACAGCTTAGAAGTCCCTCCAAACTGCCAATATCCCAAACCCCTCCTTTAAAATGCAGGCATTGTACTTCCCATTTCCAGGACTTAAGTCCAGCTAACTGGTTTCCCTGAATCCCTTCACAAAGTATTATCCTGCCCACACTCCAACAGCTTGCCAGGTCCCAAAAACCATTCGTCTCCATTCACTCCTATCTAACACAGTCACACATGCTTGCTGGAAGTCCAAGCCCCTCACCCACAAAACCTCCTTTACCCCCTCCCTCCAACCTTTTCGAGGACAACCCCTACCCTGCCTTCCCCTACAGATTTATACACTCTCCAAGTCATTCTACTTTGATCCATTCTCTCTAAATGACCAAACCACCTCAACAACAGCTCTTCAGCCCTCTGACTAATACTTTTAGTAACTCCACACCTCCTCCTAATTTCTGCACTCTAAATTCTCTGTATAATATTTATAATATGGTAGAGTTATAATTGAAAGAATTAAGAGTAAGACGGAGAATAGGATAGCAGATGAACAAGGAGGCTTTAGGAAAGGTAGGGGGTGTGTGGACCAGGTGTTTACAGTGAAACATATAAGTGAACAGTATTTAGATAAGGCTAAAGAGGTCTTTGTGGCATTTATGGATTTGGAAAAGGCGTATGACAGGGTGGATAGGGGGGCAATGTGGCAGATGTTGCAAGTGTATGGTGTAGGAGGTAGGTTACTGAAAGCAGTGAAGAGTTTTTACGAGGATAGTGAGGCTCAAGTTAGAGTATGTAGGAAAGAGGGAAATTTTTTCCCAGTAAAAGTAGGCCTTAGACAAGGATGTGTGATGTCACCGTGGTTGTTTAATATATTTATAGATGGGGTTGTAAGAGAAGTAAATGCGAGGGTCTTGTCAAGAGGCGTGGAGTTAAAAGATAAAGAATCACACACAAAGTGGGAGTTGTCACAGCTGCTCTTTGCTGATGACACTGTGCTCTTGGGAGATTCTGAAGAGAAGTTGCAGAGATTGGTGGATGAATTTGGTAGGGTGTGCAAAAGAAGAAAATTAAAGGTGAATACAGGAAAGAGTAAGGTTATGAGGATAACAAAAAGATTAGGTGATGAAAGATTGAATATCAGATTGGAGGGAGAGAGTAATGGAGGAGGTGAACGTATTCAGATATTTGGGAGTGGACGTGTCAGCGGATGGGTCTATGAAAGATGAGGTGAATCATAGAATTGATGAGGGAAAAAGAGTGAGTGGTGCACTTAGGAGTCTGTGGAGACAAAGAACTTTGTCCTTGGAGGCAAAGAGGGGAATGTATGAGAGTATAGTTTTACCAACGCTCTTATATGGGTGTGAAGCGTGGGTGATGAATGTTGCAGCGAGGAGAAGGCTGGAGGCAGTGGAGATGTCATGTCTGAGGGCAATGTGTGGTGTGAATATAATGCAGAGAATTCGTAGTTTGGAAGTTAGGAGGAGGTGCGGGATTACCAAAACTGTTGTCCAGAGGGCTGAGGAAGGGTTGTTGAGGTGGTTCGGACATGTAGAGAGAATGGAGCGAAACAGAATGACTTCAAGAGTGTATCAGTCTGTAGTGGAAGGAAGGCGGGGTAGGGGTCGGCCTAGGAAGGGTTGGAGGGAGGGGGTAAAGGAGGTTTTGTGTGCGAGGGGCTTGGACTTCCAGCAGGCATGCGTGAGCGTGTTTGATAGGAGTGAATGGAGACAAATGGTTTTTAATACTTGACGTGCTGTTTGGAGTGTGAGCAAAGTAACATTTATGAAGGGATTCAGGGAAACCGGCAGGCCGGACTTGAGTCCTGGAGATGGGAAGTACAGTGCCTGCACTCTGAAGGAGGGGTGTTAATGTTGCAGTTTAAAAACTGTAGTGTAAAGCACCCTTCTGGCAAGACAGTGATGGAGTGAATGATGGTGAAAGTTTTTCTTTTTCGGGCCACCCTGCCTTGGTGGGAATCGGCCAGTGTGATAATAAAAAAATAATAATAATATTTACACCACACACTGCCCTTAGACAAGACATCTCCATTGTCTCCAGCTGTCTCCTCGCTGCAGCATTTGCAACCCAAGCTCCACACCCATATAAGAATGTTGGTACCACTATACTTTCGTACATTCCCTTCTTTGCCTCCACGGATAACGTTTTTTGTCTCCACAGATACCTCAACGCACCACTCACCTTTTTTCCTTCATCAATTCTATGATTAACCTCATCTTTCATAAACCCATCTGCTGACAAGTCAGCTCCGAAATATCTGAAAACATTTACTTCTTCCATACTTCCTCTTTCCAATGTGATATCCAATTTTTCTTCATCTAAATCGTTTGATACCCTCATCACTTTACTCTTATGTATGTTCACTTTCAACTTTCTACCTTTACACACACTCCCAAACTCGTCCACTAACCTTTACAACTTTTCTTAAGAATCTCCCATAAGCACAGTATCATCAGCAAAAAGTAACTTTGTCAACTCCCAATTTGTATTTGATTCCCCATAATTTAATCCCACCCCTCTCCCCAACACCCTAGCATTTACTTCTTGTACAGCCCCATCTATATATATATATATATTAAACAACCATGGTGACATTACACATCCCTGTCTAAGACCTACTTTTACCAGGAAGCAATCTCTCTCTCTCCTACACACCCTAACCTGAGCCTCACTATCCTCATAAAAACTCTTTACAGCATTTAGTAACTTACTATCTATTCTATACACTTGCAACATCTGCCACATTGCTCCCCTATCCACTAACACATGGCTTTTCTAAATCCATAAATGCAATGAAAACTTCCCTACCTTTATCTAAATACTGTTCACATATATGCTTCAATGTAAACACTTGATCTCCACATCCCCTACCCACTCTAAAGCTTCCTTGCTCATCTGCAATCCTACTCTTTGTTTTACCTCTAATTATTTCAATAATAACCCTACTGTACACTTTACCTGGTATACTCAGTAAACTTCTTTCCCTATAATTTTTACAATCTCTTTTGTCCCCCTTCCCTTTATATAAAGAAACTATACACGCTCACTGCCAATCCCTAGGTACCTTCCCCTCTTTCATACATTTATTAAACAAAAATACCAACCACTCACACTATATCCTTCCCTGCTCTTAACATATCTGTCATGATCCCATCTTTTCCAGCTGCTTTACCCTCTTTCATTCTACGTAATGCCTCACGCACCTCCCCCACACTCACATCCTGCTCTTGTTCGCTCCTATAAGATGATATACCTCGATGGCCAGTGCATGAAATTACTGCCTCCCTTTCTTCATCAACATTTAAAAGTTCCTCAAAATATTCCTGCCATCTACCCAATACCTCCAGTTCCCTATCAACTAACTCCCCTACTCTGTTTTTAACTGACAAATCCAGTTGTTCCCTAGGCTTTCTTACCTTGTTTATCTCACTCCAAATTTCTTTCTTATTTTTAGCAAAATTTCTTGACAGTGCCTCTCCCACTATCATCTGCTCTCCTTTTGCACTCCCTCATTATATATACTGACTATTTATACTGAGAGAGATGCTGGGTTCTCAGTCATGCAAGCCCAATGTGGAAAGATTGGCATCCTTATCACCTAGGCACATACTACTTAACCCTTAAACGGTCCAAACGTAAATATACGTTCACTCACGCAGTGCCCCGAATATTTTGAAAAAAGAAAAAAAAAAAATTTTTATAGAAAAAAAAGAGCACATTTTTTTAGTGTTTTAGCATAAAAAAAATTTTTAGGGTCAGTACTTACTGAGATATGAGGTCGCGAAGTTGTCACTTAGTGATCACCTGACGCAACATGGAGTGCTGTTGCTTGCAGAAATTCTACATATTTACCGTTTTCTTCCATTTTTTTTTTTTTTTCATTTTCTTGGTTTTCATGATATAATAATTATGTTTTATAGTAAATCTTTTGATATCAATGCCAATTTTTGTTTATACACCAATATTATATATGAAATTATTATCATATTGTCATAAACACACATGTACACACTGACAGGTAATTTTGCACACCTGGCTGAATCACATTCTATTATCTACAACTATATACAAGTATTTACATGTCCCACTTACGTTTCTAGAACTCCATGACTGTATGATACTCCATGAAGCATGGATTCATACCGAGTGCCACCCCACACTGGTGACAAATGAACTGTGTGTCCTTCCGCTGTTGGGGTCATTTTTTGGTGGTAGCACACACAACACACTTTTTCTGGGCATTCTTCTTCTTTTGGGTAGGTGGCATTGGTATCAGATAGTGACAGTTAGGAGTGATTCGGTCTGACACTTCCCCCACTGGCTGTGGTTGGGGGACAGGTCACTGTTGAAGGGCAGGTACAGGTGTGGTACCATACTTTCTTGCTATCTGTTTGACAAGATTCAGAGAGAAATCTGCAAAACGTTGTCATTTTCCACTCTTTATTTTGTACATATTGAATGCATTGAGCACTGCAATGTCTACAAGGTGAAAAAGCAGTTTTATATACCACTTGCGACTCCTACGCACACAGTCAACAAACCTTATCATCATGTCGTACTTGTCAACTAGTCGCATATTGTTCGTACGGTCCACGACAGCAGCTGGCTTTACAACAGGTTCTTTGTTGAACTTGCTCAGTCTGTCTGTTTGTACCATCTCGTTTCTGTGGATGGTTGACAGCAATGTCACGTCCCGCTTGTCATGCCACGTCAGTGCCATGATGTCATTAGCATGAAACACTTGCACTTCACCTTCAACACTGCCTCCAGTGAACCTTGGCATATGTTTCCTATTCCTTCTCACTGTTCCACATATATCAGTATTGTTCACATGTAGGAAATCAGCAAGCATAGGGCTTGTATACCAGTTATCTGTGTACAATGTATGGCCCTTGCCAAGGTATGGTTCCATCATCCTGTGAACAACATCACCAGAAATGCCCAACATCCGTCTGTCATCATCGAGTGTGTTTCTCCCGGTGTATACAATTACATCCAACACAAGACCACTCTCACAGTCACACATAACAAAATTTTTTATACCAAAGCAATTACGTTTGCTCGGTATATATTGCTTGAATGACAGGCGTCCCTTGAACAGAATCAAGGACTCATCAACAACAATGTTCTTGAAGGGATAAAAGTATACACTGAATTTCTGCTTCAAATACATAAACACTTCCCGGATTTTGTATAGAAGGTCATTTCTGTTTGGCGTATTTCTGTCTGAGAAGTGCAACATTCGTATCAACAGAGTGAATCCGTTGCAGGGAAGGTGGTCACGGAAAACTGGAGTACTGATGAAGTGGTCTGTAGACCATCAATTACGTATATTGTTCTTATAGATATGTGGCATAAGCATGACAGTGGCAAGGAATAAATACATTTCAGCTACTGTTGTGTCTTTCCACCTGTGCAGCCATGACGATTCTCCAACCTCTACTGTGTTGTTCATGACATATTGGTAATAATTGTTTGTCTGGGTCACTATCAAGTTCATTATAGGCTCATCAAAGTACAACTGGAAATAGTCTAACTCTGTAGACTCATTCGTTATGGGACATTCTGGCTGGATTTCACTTCCACTAGCATCAAAATCACAAGGCTGTGGCATGAATATACTTTGTGTCCAGTTCCACTCACAATCACATGGTGCAGGGTGAACCTGTGGCATGGGGCGAGGGGGGGCAGGAGGAGGAGGGAGAGGAGTGGAGGCAGCACATGGTTGTGGGGATGCCAGGCGGTCCTTTGTCTGTCCTCCCACTGTACCATGTGGTCCAGGCACCGTGTCACCCACCACTACTTCCTCCATCCCCGCATACTCCCCTTCATGATCACTTTCACTACCAGTGGCCGGGGTTTTGGACCGTGACCTGCCACGACCCTTGGGGATTGCATATGGCACACTGCCTGAACATAAATAACGACGCCTAAAAGTACGTTTCACTGGTGAATAATGAACTTCACTATCACTAGACGAATCCTCGAATGGCATAAAATCAATCTCATCGTCACTTACATCATTTTCACTATCACTTAAACACTGGGAAAATGATAGTTTCCTCTTGCGAAGTTGCCTATGGGTAACACCTGCCACTCCAGAGGTGCTTGGCCCACGGTCTTGTGTGGCCACACTGGCCACCCCAGAAGTGCTTGGCCCTAGGACAGGTGTTGCTACCCCAGAGGTGTTGGACTGAGGGTCATCTGGGTTATCGTCAATATTTTCACTAATTCTTTGAATGTTACTGGCCCCATTGGTGTCAAATCCACTAAACTCACGATCTATAACACTTTCCTCGAATAGTAGAGTGTTAATACGACGAGGCGTGAGTGAATCACAAGGATTTGCCATGATGCTGATCCAAGATGGAGCTGAATGTAACTGGACCTACCATGTGGTACCCAGGTGTCCCCAATTTTTTATACCATGCACACTGAGTGCACACACCCATTCTCTCATGTCTAGGCAACTCAGGCCTATAGCGCCAGTTTTGAATGAATGAAAAATAAAACGTATATATACATTTGGGGCGCTACGCACGAGAACATACATATATGTTTGGACCGTTTAAGGGTTAAACAACAACACCAAGTACCTCAGGATCAGGGTAAATCAGCAAAGACAGGGAAGTGAAGAAGAATCCTTCCTCTATAAGCCATGCGTGCCATATGAGGTGACTAAAATGCCGGGAGAAAGGGGCCAGTAACCCCTTCTGTATGAATTATTAAATGTAAAAAAAAAAGAATAAATTTTGTTTCCTCTTTTTTGGGTCACCTTGCCTCAGTGGGAAATGGCTGGTGTGTTAAAAAAAAACTAGCCAATGCAAAGACAGAAACAAAAATTTTTTAGTTATATATGTTCATATAGTCAGACTTGAGTCCTGGAAATGGGAAGTACAATGCCTGCACTTTAAAGGAGGGGTTTGGGATATTGGCAGTTTGGAGGGATATGTTGTGTATCTTTATACGTATATGCTTCTAAGCTGTTGTATTCTGAGCGCCTCTGCAAGAGCAGTGATAGTGTGCGAGCGTGGTGAAAGTGTTGAGTGATGATGAAAGTGTTTTCTTTTTGGGGATTTTCTTTCTTTTTTGGGTCGCCCTGCCTCGGTGGGAGACGGCCGACTTGTTGAAAAGAAAAAAATGAAGGAAAATAGCAATAAAAGATCAATTATTAACAAGAGAGAAAAGGGAACATTCACAGGGTATGACAGGAAGCTTTGCCATGAGCTCAATAAAAGATTCCACTGTTTACAAATGAGGAAGAGCTAGTACCAGTCATAGAAGAGTTCATAAACCAAATACTACTACCATCAAGCACAGAAACAACTAAAAAAAAATAATGCAACTCCCGATGGAATTTGATACATCAAAGACATAAGGGGAAAAAAACCTTTAATATCCCATTTATGATGGATGAAGTGCCAGATGACTGGAAAGTAGCAAAAATAATGCTTACATTCCAAAAAAGTCACAGACAAGAAGCTCTGTAGTCTAACAAGTAACATGCAAAACAGTAAAAAATCATAAGGAAAGACTGAACAACTACAAAGAACTAGATTCTTCACAGAACCCCTGCATAGAGTCAGAAATGGAAGATCATGCCTTTCAAACCTTATAGCAACATATGATAAAGCCTCCCTGAGGCTAGACAGGAAAGTGAGTGATTAGTGAACTGCATATTCCTAGACTGTAAGAAGGCTTTTGATAAAAAAGCCATAGCAAGCTACTTAGTAACATGGAGAAGCAAGCTAGGGTAAAAGAGAAGTATGACCATGGGTAAGAAAATACTTAGAATAGGAAAGTGTAACTAGTGGAGTTCCACACGGGTCAGCACCAGGTCCCATATTGCTCCTGGTTTGCATTAATTACCAAACAGGAATAAATCTCGAGCACAACAAAAAAAAAAAAAACTAAAAGTAAGGCTAACACATCGATTAATTCCCACCAAGAAAATACATTCACCACTACTCATTCTCTAGTTGGCATTCCAGAAAATTGCAATGTAAGACATCATTCAAACCCTAACATCCTCACCCATCCTTCAGAGTGCAGACACTGTAATTTCCACCTTCAAAATTTAAATGTGATTGATTGGTTTCCCATAAATCCCTTCACAGATATTACCTTACACACACTCCAACAGCACAACCAATCACAGGATGGGAAAAAGAAAAAAGTGGATTCTTAAATTATTGTTTATACTTGATTAATTTTATTATTAGCCCAAGTGCAGAAATGACTGACAAATATAATATTTTTCATATTCCTATAGGAAATGTTGACAGACATGTCTGATAACTCCAAACATTAAGGATTTATTTCAGAAAGTAATAAAGCTTCAATAAATCAGAATGTTCCAAAAGTAGAACCAATAATCCCATTATGTTTCTGTAATTTAGCTTCTATTGCATTAAAAACTAAACAAAGCACCTTTTAAAGCAAGAAACAAAGCCAAAGATACATTTAAAATAAAAATAATTCACAGAGGTTGAGGAATTTTCTTTTTCACAAAATTTTAATTATATTAAAAAAGTAAAGTTAGTAATCCTAATAATGCATCATAAAGAAAACTTACTTTTTCATTACAATTTCTGAGGCACCTTTTGTGTAGATGCGGTAACCCCCTTCTCGAGGGACCACCGTCGACATAGATTTTCTTGCTGAATTAAAGGTATATACTCGGTGGAAGGTTTCTTCTGATATTTCATCACGGATGGCCTGATAACTCTTACCAAGGTCCAAAATAAATCCTAATAAGGAGCACTCAGTTTTGTTTCCAACCTGTTAAACAAAGAGTACAACACTAAGCCTTCACATTGATTTATTTTTATAATATGTAAAGGGCCAAGTACAAGCATCTTAGGTCAAAGATGAGGTAGAATGGCTCGGCTCACTGCATTAATTTACTGTTATTATAATCATACACAAACTGTACCATTGCTTCACTAAAGAGAAATGAGACTAGTGTACACAATGTATACTTTATTATACAAATTATCCATATTAGAGTTAAACTCAGCTAAATCTAATGAGGCCCAGACTTTGTAGCTAATTATCACAATAAATTAGACTGACTTATTTTCAAGACCTATTAGTGAATTAAGATTTGCCTACTTGCAGCAAAGAAGAATGCAACATATATGCATGCAATACACCAAACCAGTCCTATAAAGTGCATACACCAAATAACATCAGGACATATGCTAAAATGGCACATATAAGAAAGGCCTCACAGAAACAACAATTCTTCAAGACACTGTACCACATACTGGCAACCAAAACTTGAGTGCATAACACCTTTGTGAAGCTCCTACTTTAGTACATATACCTGATCTTCCCCACTCATTTATCTTTCTATTCTATGACCTCCACTAACACTTCTACTATTGCTACATCGTCTACTACTACTACTACCACCACTCCCTTCTTTCCCTGCCCTCTCTCTTATATACTGTATCCTTTACTTCTCACTTCAGTGTTACTAACTGTCCAGGATGGACTGAAATGTCATCATAAGTTTCCTCTCTAAGTACAGGTTATTTGTATATGACCTATTCCTAGTATCACCCTAAGTAATTGCTTCACTGATGCTACAGTACTTGTTAGTTTATTCCACATATCTGCAACATCAATGACAAACAGTGCATTACTACGTCATTTTCAAATCTGAATGTATTCAATTCGAATCCATTGTTGAGAGGTTTGTCTTCGTTAGATATTCTAATCATCTTTTTTTTTTTTTTTTTTTTTAACTCCCTTCAACCATATTTCCCCTTCATTCTATAACTTTCTAACAAGTAAGTTCAATGCTCTTAATCTTTGTATGAGATTCCTGATACACGGGATTAACCCTTAAACTGTCCAAACGTAGATCTACGTTTGTGCGTGTAGCGCTCCGAACGTAGATCTACTTTTTTTTTTTACATAAGAAACAATGTAAAATCAAACGTAGATCTACGTTCACTTGCTTAGCGTTCCGAACATTTAAAAAAAAAAATTAAATGAAAAGCACATTTTTCTATGCGTTACAGGATAAAAAAAATTTTTTAGGGTCAGTACTTACCGAGATATAAGCCCGCGAAGTTAGCACTGAATGATCAGGTATTGGCAACATGGAGCACTTCTGCTTGCAGAAGTGTTGCCAATATACCTTTTTATCTCATTTTTATTTTAATTTATATAATTTTCATGTTCTGATAATTACAATTTATAATAGTTCTTGTGATTTCATAGCCAATATTTGTTCTGACACTAATATTAGGTATTGAAATAGTTGTTGTTGTTGTTTGTCCGTCGATTCGACGAGGACCATCTAGTCATCCTGAGGTCGAAGTTGGTGGGTACGCAGATGACTTGTCAGGCCAATCCGCACACAAAACGTTCTCTGGCAGTGTGGACAGGGAAGGGTGGTGGCATCGAGGGGTCTGATGGCTCTGGTCTTCCTCGCCTGCCTGCGCTGCTCAGCTAGTGAGATTCTGCTTGCCTCGCAGGATGTTGCCCCTTTCTGGACAACTGCTCACCAGTCATTCCTGTCCTGAGCTATCAGCTCCCACATGGTGTGGTTGATGTTCAAAGCTTTCAGAGCAGTCTTAAGGGTGTCCTTATAGCGCTTCTTTTGGCCTCCTTGAGAGCGCTTTCCATGCTGCAGTTCGCCAAACAAGAGTTTCTTTGGCAGCCGGAGGTCTGGCATGCGAGCAACGTGGCCTGCCCAGCGAAGCTGTGTCTGCATTAGGATGGTGTAGATGCTAGGCAGGCCAGCTGTAGTCAGCACTTCTGTGTCTGGGATCTTATCTTGCCATTTGATGCCAGGAATTTTTCTGAGCTGTGTGGTGTGAAAGTGGTTCAACTTTCTGGCGTGACGTTTGTAGACAGTCCAGGTTTCGCAGCCATAGAGAAGTGTGGTGAGGACTATGGCTCTGTACACCTTGATCTTGGTGCTTGTGGTGATGCCTCTTCGGTTCCATACATTCTTGTGAAGCCTGCCGAAGGTAGCACTGGCTTTGGCAAGTCTGGCATTCACCTCATCATCGATGACAACGTTTCTGGAAAGGGTACTGCCGAGGTAGGTGAATTTGTCTACGGCGTTCAGTCGCTTCCCGTTGATGGTGATGTTTGGCTCAACATATGTCTTTCCCGGAGCAGGCTGGTGCATCACTTCAGTCTTCATTGTACTGATTGTCAGCCCAAAATTGTTGCAGGCGTCAGAGAACTTGTCAACACTGTGCTGCATGGCGGCTTCTGAAGCAGCATTGAGGGCGCAGTCATCAGCAAATAGCAGGTCATTGATGGTGTCAGTTGCAGCCTTGGTTTTTGCTTGAAGCCTCCTGAGGTTGAAGACAGACCCATCTGTATGGTTGCGTCTGTGTCCCTGAATGCGTCTGTAAGCATGGCCGAGAACATCAGGCTGAACAGGGTGGGAGCAAGCACGCAGCCTTGTTTCACTCCATTTGAGACTGGGAATGGTTTAGATGTCTCTCCGTTGTCTTGGACTCTGGCCAGCATTCCATTGTGAAGTTGGCGTACGATGGTGATAAACGTCTTTGGGCAGCTGTACTTTGCCATGATTCTCCAAAGGCCCTCTCTACTAATGGTTTCGAAGGCCTTGGTCAAATCTACGTAGGTGGAGTACAAGTCGGCGTTCTGTTCCTGACATTTCTCCTGTAGCTGTCTAGCAGCGAACACCATGTCAATAGTCCCGCGATCTTCCCGGAAGCCGCACTGGCTTTCAGGTAGGAGTCCTTGCTCTAGATGTTCATTGAGCCGATTGAGTAGAACTCTAGCCAGGGTTTTGCCTGCAATGGAGAGCAGGGAGATATCACGGTGGTTGTCGCATGCCTGGCGGTTTCCTTTTCGTTTGTAGAGATGCACGATGGAAGCATCTTTAAAGTCCTGAGGAACTGTCTCGTGCTGCCATACAAGCTGGAAGAGTTGGTGAGGTTTCTCTACCAGTGCCATTCCACCTTCTTTGTAGACTTCAGCTGGGATGGCGTCAGACCCAGGAGCTTTGCCACTGGACAGTTGACGTATTGCTTGCTGAGTCTCCTCCAAAGTGGGGATGGCATTCAGCGTCTCGTTGGTCGGAATCTGAGATAGACGTTCGATGGCTTCATCGTTGATGGTGGATGGACGGTTCAGCACGCTGTCAAATGTTCTGCCCATCTCTCTAGAATTTTCTCCTTGTCTGTGAGCAGCGTTGACCCATCTGCGCTGAGGAGTGGTGATGTGCCAGAGGTGGTATGGGCCATAGATTTCTTTCAGGCCGTCATAGAAGTTCTTCATATTGTTTCTGTCTGCAAAGCCCTGAATCTCATCGGCTTTGTTGCTTAGCCAAGAGTCTTGCATTTCACGCATTTTTCACTGGGTATTGCTGCATATGTTTCTCAGTGCATCTTGCTTCGCTGTGGACTTTGGGTCGTTGATGTGGGCCATGTAGGCCTTTCGTTTCTCTTCCAGCAGCTGCTGGATTTCTGTGCAGTGTTCGTCAAACCAGTCCTTGTGCTTCCTGGTGACGGGTCCTAGACACTCCATGGCTGTGGTGTACACTGTATCACGGAGTGCGATCCATGCTGCTTCAACGTTTTGAACGTCCAGCAAGACGGACTCCAAGCGGGTTTCCAGGATTTCTGCAAAGGACTGCTTGGCGTTGTGGGCCTTCAGTAGTTTACCTGGAGTTTACCTGGAGAGAGTTCCGGGGGTCAACGCCCCCGCGGCCCGGTCTGTGACCAGCCTCCTGGTGGATCAGAGCCTGATCAACCAGGCTGTTACTGCTGGCTGCACGCAAACCAACGTACGAGCCACAGCCCGGCTGATCAGGAACCGACTTTAGGTGCTTGTCCAGTGCCAGCTTGAAGACTGCCAGGGGTCTGTTGGTAATCCCCCTTATGTATGCTGGGAGGCAGTTGAACAGTCTCGGGCCCCTGACACTTATTGTATGGTCTCTTAACGTGCTAGTGACACCCCTGCTTTTCATTGGGGGGATGTTGCATCGTCTGCCAAGTCTTTTGCTTTCGTGGTGAGTGATTTTCGTGTGCAAGTTCGGTACTAGTCCCTCTAGGATTTTCCAGGTGTATATAATCATGTATCTCTCCCGCCTGCATTCCAGGGAATACAGGTTCAGGAACCTCAAGCGCTCCCAGTAATTGAGGTGTTTTATCTCCGTTATGCGCGCCGTGAAGGCTCTCTGTACATTTTCTAGGTCAGCAAATTCACCTGCCTTGAAAGGTGCTGTTAGTGTGCAGCAATATTCCAGCCTAGATTGAACAAGTGACCTGAAGAGTGTCATCATGGGCTTGGCATCCCTCGTTTTGAAGGTTCTCATTATCCATCCTGTCATTTTTCTAGCAGATGCGATCGATACAATGTTATGGTCCTTGAAGGTGAGATCCTCCAACATGATCACTCCCAGGTCTTTGACGTTGGTGTTTCGCTCTATTTTGTGGCCAGAATTTGTTTTGTACTCTGATGAAGATTTAATTTCCTCGTGTTTACCATATCTGAGTAATTGAAATTTCTCATCGTTGAACTTCATATTGTTTTCTGCAGCCCACTGAAAGATTTGGTTGATGTCCGCCTGGAGCCTTGCAGTGTCTGCAATGGAAGACACTGTCATGCAGATTCGGGTGTCATCTGCAAAGGAAGACACGGTGCTGTGGCTGACATCCTTGTCTATGTCAGACATGAGGATGAGGAACAAGATGGGAGCGAGTACTGTGCCTTGTGGAACAGAGCTTTTCACCGTGCCTGCCTCAGACTTTACTCTGTTGACTACTACTCTCTGTGTT